CCAACATTTGCATTCCAGTTGCCAATAATCGCCAATGCATTTTGATCGCATGTTTGATCAATTTCACATTGAACACTTAGGTAAAGTTTTTCAATTTCTGCATTGCTTGGTTAAGTTGCTGATGTATAAATTTGAAAAATAGTTGTATTGATTGGATTTTCTTGAGTGTGGATAGATAGAATCCTATCACAGACAGCATTGTACTTCAAGAAAGATCTGGTATAATGTCCTTTTTGATGATGAATGTGTCATTCCCAGAATAGTAAACCATGTGATTTTCTAATTCAAAATGCCTAGAATATCGATCTTTATGTGTTCCATTCCATTTTTGACGACTGCCAATTTTTCTAGCTGTATATTTAATACATTCCAAGTCCCAATTCTCACTTGAGTTCTGTCCCGTCAGCACATGAGGGTCCTGGAGGCTTATTTCTCACAGGCTTTACTCCATTCGTGCCATTATGCTCGACTACTTTGAGAAGGCAGCGCTTCCTCCGTCTGATCATGAGGGCCTTTGAGCCGTCCTCTAGCACCATCTCTGACAAAGCTCTGCTCCCATCAGTTATGCCTGCACTATCTGATGATGTTCCTTGCTACACATAAGGTTTTCGGTGGCTTCTTCCTCTGAAGTAGACCGCCAGTTCCTTTGTAGTCCGTCCAAGTTTGGGAGCTCTGCTGGAACCTGCTCATTGTGGGTGACCCTGCTGGCATTTGAAACCACCAGTGACATAGCTTTCAGTGTCACAGCAACACACGAGCCACCACAGGACAAACTTGACAGACAAGTGGTGGATATAATGGCATCCTACAGTTTGGCACTTTTTTTTTTAGAACATAAGTGGTGCGGGCTTGCATAGTTATGATTTAAACCAGTCCTACCTGAATGCTGTCTTTTTTCCCTTCTATAATCAATGATGTGATAAATACCACATTCAACTTAGATTTATACTGCTACATCATGAGAGGTAGAGTTGCTTATTTACCTTTTATTGAGTACTGCTCAATTGCCCTTTAGAAAGAGACCAGCCAACCCTCCTGTTGCAAACACCAGTTTCCCTTAATAATGGCTCTTTTTCCCCCTTTCATCTTTGCGAATCTGTAAAGTGAAGGGAGAAAAGAGACTGTCTCACTTAATTTTCACTTGCGTGTAGGCGATTGATTATTCTTGCTTATTGGGCACTTGCATGTTTTTGATGAGTTTCTCATTCATAATACATTTTCTTTGACCTTATTTCTTATCAATCTGTAAGAGATCCTTGTTCAGGAACCAACTGGGGCATATTTAAAACTTTTGGGGGTCTAAGTTTGTATGTATTTTGCAGGGTTTTCATTATCTATTGAAAAATGTATCCTGCTGATGTAAAGATCTGACTTGTTTTATCCCATTGTTCAAGGAGCCAGTTACTTGAATTACCTTTCTTTGGAGGTAAAGCTACCTTTCTGGTTTGGAGTAGTGTTTTGCTCCTCAGCCATTCATAAGGGTCCGTGATGTGAACTGTCATTCCTTCAGGCCAGGAAAGGAAGGGGGGCCAGGTGACAACTGCATTAGGTGAAAGAAGAGGAACCCAAGGGAGGAGAAACAAGAGTCTAACGCATGGAATTAACAAATAGAGTGTGTTCAGCTTGACATCTCTCAGTGGCCTCGGGACATTGGTGAATTGCTGCGTTAGCCTGTTAATGGGAGGTATTGGCACAGAGTGGAAGAAGGTAGCGTTAATCTGACTATCCTAAGGTCTATAAGGAGGAGTCCCAGTGATGTAGTGGGCTGCCATCTGTGAGGTCAGCAGTTCAAAACCACCAGCAGCGCCACAGGAGAAAGATGGCTTTCTATTCGTATTAACAGTTACAGTCTCAGAAATCCACAGGGGCTCACTATGAGTCAGCATTGGCATGATGACAATGGGTTTGGTTTGGTAATGTCTATAAAAATTCCCTAGCTGATGCAAACAGTGAATGCCCAGAGGTGCCTCACAAGAAAGGCCCGGCCATTTACTTCTGAAAAATCAGCCATTGAAAACCTTGTGAAGCAGAGTTCTATTTTGACACATGGAGGCACCCTAAGTCAGGGTTGGTTATAATGTCAGGAATGACCTGCCAAGGAGACAATCTGACTTAAATGAAAGGGATGCTCTTATAAGGAATAATTAAGAATCTCTACATAGCAATGGTAGTAGAACTTCCCATAGATTCATTAAAGACACACTAGAGGTTTTTTAGTTTTATTATTTTAGTGGATTAGTGACTAGGTCCTAGAGAATTAAGTGGTTTTTACATGTAAGCTTCAGTAAAAGAGACATTGCTAGGTTGACTGGAGTGTGCTGTCACACCAGGAGTGAACACATTAAGTTACTGTGCAGTTTCAAGTAGAATGAGTACTCGGCTGTACGGGTGTTAGTGCCTGCCTTCTAATCCTGGTCAACCTGGTTTGAGGTTTTGACTGGCAGAGAAGGAATTGGGAAAGCTCCCTGGCAAGGATCAGGCAAGGCAAGGCTACCCATCTTCTGACATTCCTGGGAACGGCATTGTCTTTGGCAGAGTAAGCAGAGGCATGTTTAAATATCTTCAAGAAACCCCTCCACAGATCACTGCAGTGCCTTCAATGAAGGGGTAGAATGGGACCTGGAAATGAACAAATGCAGACTCAAATGCCCCCAAACAAGTATGCAGGCACAGCTAGTGACTTGAAACAAGGAACAAGAGGAAAGGAGGCAGATGGCCTTTTTTACCTTGTATTGCGCAACTTCATAACCAGAGAAAGGTTGAAGTGGTCAAGGATTTCATTTTACTTGAACCTACAGTTAACCCCCATGGAAGCAGCAGTCAGGAATTCAAATGATGCGTTGCGCTGGGAAAATCCATTACAACTCTTCCTTGAGGACCAAACCATGGGCTTTTCCATCACCGCATGGATGCCACAGCTGGACAATGAATAAGGGAAACCAGTGATGCCTTTGAATTAGGTGGTGGTGCAGAATACTGACTACAGACACCAGGGACTACCAGAACAAACATCTACCTTGAAAGAAGTACAGCCAGATGTTCCTTGGAAGTGATGAAGAGGAGACCAGAAAAGATGTTCACGTGCTTTGGAGACATTCTCAGAAGGGCCCAGGAGACCATCATGCTTGATAAGATAGAGGACTACTGAAAAAGAGGAGCACCCCCCTAGAGATGGATGAAAATACTGGCTGTAACAAGATGCAGACATAATTGTGAGGATGGCACAGGGTCCAGCAGTGGTTCCCTTTTGTACACAGTCACTGTTGTATGAGTCCGAACTGCCTTGATGGCACCTAACCACTGTGACCCACAGGAGCCTAGCTGACACAATGGCTGAGTGCTCAGTTGCTTATTAAAAGGTTGGCAGTTTGAACCCACGCAGCTCCGTGAGAGAGGAGACCTGGCAATCCGTTCCCCAAAGGTTACAATCTAGAATGTCTATGGGGCAGTTCTACTCTATCACATGAGGTCACCCCAAACCAGTATCAACTTGACAACTGTGGACCAAGAGTGGTACTGGGGAGAACCTGCTGACGCTCCTGCTCTTAAGTTTACAGACCGGTAGAGGAGGCGCATGCTTGGGACCATAGAGGCAGGGGTATTGGCAGCAGCTTTAAGGGGTCAAGGGAGACTTCTCAGTAGAAGTGCTGTTTAAACTTTAAATGTTCTTTTAGGAAGACACAAAGACTGCAGTCACCTGTGGCTCGAAGGGAAAGGGAGTAAGGGAAACGGAGTCCAGTGTTGGGAAAAAAGGAGGATGGGGAGAGCCCCCACAGGGAACCAAAGGTAGGGGAGACAGGTGGCAGTAAAGATTGCTCCCACTGCCAAGAGGTAATCAATGGGGTGGCCTGCATCTGAGGAGATGGACTTCCCTGTGGCAAACAAGTTGAAGGAAGGGCTCTGCATCCTGGGACAAACCAGCCACAGCAGATGCAAAGATGCAAGGAACCATTGGGGGGTGGGGTGGGGGGCTGAAGTTAAGGTCGGGGAGGTGAGCAAGCAAGACTGGAAATTCAGTGGGAGCAAGCAGAGCAAATGTTCATCATGTCAACTCCTAGAGCTTAGGGTCATCTGGTAAACCAAAAAGCTAATAATGGATTATGAGTCAAAGAGGCCTGGTGGTGCAGTGATTACAGTGCTTGGCTGCTAACTGAAAGACTGGTGGGTGGAAACCCACCAGGGAGAAAGGGCTACTCTGCCGCCATACAGATTCCAGTCTTGGTAACTATGGGGCCCTTCCACTCTGTCCTACAGGTTGCTCTGAGTTGGAATTGACTAGAAGGGGTTGGGTTTAGGGCTGTTAATCAGTATGAACGCATTTCTAGTTTGGCTGGTTAAGGAAGAAGTAGACATCTGTAACTTATTTTTTAAATATCCAAAGGATAGTAAAGACGCTTCCTCAATTCCATTGTAAAGTGGTAGGCAAGGAGTGTGGTATGGGCCAGCTGCCAGGTTCAGAGAGGGATTTAAGATCCTTTGTGGACAGTCATTTTTTGGAAGGACTACTGTCTGAATGGCACAGGAATGAATGATGAGCAGTGTGGACTAAGACTTTCCACCAGCTCAGTGGAGGAAGGGCTGATGGTGAAGGCAGAGAGGGGAGGATGACAAACCAGGGTCCACAGGTTCCAAGGTGTAGAACATGCATCATGTTCACAGTCGGAACCTTAGAAAAGCAAATTCTCTTCCAGGCTCAACTTGACCAGCTTAAAGTCTTTATGAGGAAGGCTTTCCCAGAGTGCTTCCTTCAGTGGGTTTATGGTAGCACTCTAAGCTGCTCTTGATTCATCAAAAGAGGGTGAAGGCAAATTAAAACAGTGTGCAAAAAATGAACAAAAGGTGTTCATGCAAGTCTTATGTCCTCCAGCAATTGGCAATTGTTTTGAAAACCAAACTCCCTGCCATTGAGTCGAAGCGGACTCATAATGAACCTTTGAGGACAGGGTAGAACTGCTCTGGTGAGTTTCTGAGACTGTCACTGCCAGAGTAGAGCGCCCAGCCTTTCTCCTGAGGAGCAACGAGCAGCCAGTAGTTTTGAACTGCTGACCTTGAAGATCTCAGCCCAATGTGTAACCACACTGTTTTGAAGGCTCGCTTTAATGTTCCATAGTGGCTACTAGCCACTGTGGGTATTTCCATTTCATTGTAATCGACATTCCATGTCTGGGTTGTGTTGGACACACTCCAAATAGCCAGCAGTCATGCTGCTAGTGTACCATATCGACTGCAGACACAGGCCAGTTGTCATCTCAAAGTCCTGCTGAGCAATGCTGATCTGGAGCACACAGACTGGTGTGCAAGAGGTGCTCTATACAAAGCTGTTGCATGAATGGTCCTCTGCACTGTTGTCCGTTGCTACTAAGAGATTTGCTCCCTTCTCCCCTCTTCTCTGGCCAGCATAGCCAAGAAAGTTGCCAGGGCCCCACGTTGAAGTCTTTAGGTCTGCACAGCGGAGGATGTAATGTTAAGGCTCTGGAGAAGACAAGATGAGGTGTCTGGGTGAAGGACGACTGGCTTGAGCGTCCTCCCCTGGTACCCAGACCTGATGGCAGTACCAGGAAGCATTGGCTGCTGGAATGTGTAATTGTGCCCCACTTGGAAAGGGGACTGCTTAGGGGCCCAGCAACTTCCCAGGCTTCAAGGATCAGTCTCAGAGCATGAGGGAGCCACACCCCATTTTCAACCGGTCAAGAGTCAGCTTCTCACCACAGGAGAAGCTAAGCGGGTGAAGGGAACTTGCGGGGAAAACGGAAAGGGAGATGTGCTGAGGCTCCAGCTCTTCCAGGGGCTCCGGGGCAGGAGGCTCGTGTGAAGGGAGGTAACCTATGTTGGAGGGTAAGTAGCCCTCCTGGCTAGGAAGGTAGTCCACCGGGAGGATGGTCAGGGGGCTGACTGGGTTTCCAGGGTTGGTGACAGGGCCCCTGCCCCCCAGCACCTTGTACAGATCCCCTGGTTGTCTTGTCTCAGCTCCTGGAGGTGCCAGGTCTTCCTCAGCGGTGTAGGGACCTTGGCCTCCTGGTCCCCTTTGTTCTGGCCAGTTGGTGTGATGCGGATGAGTGAAGGCTGGGGGTTCCTGATGAATGACCTCATTGATGACCAGTGTCTCGGGTTCTTCCGGAGAGTGGCCGGCTATCAGGAGCCTGTCTGAGGGCAGCTGCATCTTCTCCTGAGAGAAGGGAGGTGGAAGAGCTTCTTAGTAAGTAAATAGCCTGGACACCTGACTTCACTCTGCCCACATGCCTCAGCCTGCACTGCCCACACAGGGCAAGGGGCGTGGGTAGGAGAAGTAAGCATTGTCTGGGAGTCTGCATCGGAGGCAGAGGTAGGTGTGGGGACTTCTTCAACTCCCCAAATCCAGCTGAAACTTTTGCCTGGCTCTCTCGGGTGAACCACACTGTATACCACCTGCTTCTGTAGCCTAGAAGGCACGGTACAGAGGAAAGGCCAGCCTGGCCAGTGTTTTGGAGGAGGACTCAGGGATGGTTTTATGACCACCTCTACCCCCACCCCACCCTGGGTCATGAGGTGATGCTGAACTGAGTCCCGACAGATGTATAGGCTTTCCCATGTGCGGAAGTGGCAGGCCCTTAAGACCGTGTATTCTGGAACCAGGGTCTGACCACCAGCCACATATGGTTTGCAACTCCATAGAACTAACTGTAAGGGAGGGGCAGGGTGATTTAAGATAGCTTGAGGATAGAGAGAACGTGGGTTCTAGTCCCAGCTTGGACAGTGTGTGGCCTAGGAAAACTTCTCTGGCCTCCCTCATTTGTCGGATGACAAACTGTGCCAGATGGTTTGGTCTGGAATGGCATCTGGCTGGTTCCAAGCCCAACATCCCCTTCCTTAGCTTTGGACTCTGCAGGAGTCCAGAGAGTGAAAGAGACTGATGTCTCCAGCAGATGAGGGTGTGTGTGTGTGTGTGTGTGTGTGTACACACATGCATGTGCACTCTGAGGATGTTTGCACCAACTGTGTGTGTGTGTGTGTGTGGCAAGAAGGAAGGGTGTGTGTGTGTGTACACATGCATGTGCACTGAGGATGTTTGCACCAACTGTGTGTGTGTGTGTGTGTGTACACATGCATGTGCACTCTGAGGATGTTTGCACCAACTGTGTGTGTGTGTGTGTGTGTGTATACACATGCATGTGCACTCTCTGAGGATGTTTGCACCAACTGGCCATGGCAACTCGTGGCGCCTTTGGAAAGCACCGTGTTCACAGAAGTAGCGGTGGAGGTTACACAGAGCCTAGGGCGGGCTGCGTGTGCTCACTAGGTGAGGCGCTCGCTCTGCCTGCGTGACTGTGACGTGTTGGCAGTATTGACTGAGGCTGCTCCGCAGTGCTTTTAAGAAGCAGGCTTTCTGGCCCGCACGTCCCAGGAGGAAGCCCTCTGAAACTACTCTTAGCCCAGGCACCTCATGCCTGCCTTTGAAAGCTATTTTTAGCTTTCATGAGTTCAAAATGGGTAGCATCCCAGTGACCCTCTTTATGATGTGGCCCTTTCGCCCCAAAGCCATGAGATGTGGTCTCTCGGCTACACCTTGGGAAGCAGTGGAGGGGTGCAAGGTCTGAGCGATCTGGACACATTTTGCTGGAGGTGAAGGTCAAAGGATCGAGTTGCTGTCTTCCTCCCTCAGCCTAGCGCCAGGAAGGCAGTTTTATCCTTTAAAAAGAATCTAACTGCTTCAGGGTCAAGCCTGAAGTTTCGCCACGGCCTTCATGCCGACAGGTTATGTTTAAGCTCTATATAGATGTGTATATACTCATGGATAAGCCAAGTTTTTTCAGCACATTTTTTTACATGCTGTTTTTGTGGTGAAATTAGGTGCCTCGGCTGATATTCGGGTCAGCTTATACTCGAGTATCTATGGTACATCTCGATGGCGAAGTGGGTGGTGCTTTGGGCTGCTCTGGGAGAGAGTGAGGCTTTCTATTTGCACCAAGTTGTCTGGTGGTCGGGCAGTCAGTTCTGACTCACAGACACCTGCTGCACAACAGAACCTGCACCGTCCTCACAATTGCTCACATGTTTGAGCCCACTGTTGCAGCTACAGTGACAATCCAGCTCCTGGAGGGCCTTCCTCTCCTTCGCTGCCCTTCTGGTTTACCAAGCTTGATGTCCTTCTCCATGGATTGGTCTCTCCTGACAACATATCCAAAGTATGTAAGAAGAAATTAAGAGTCAGAGTCTGGAAACCCACAGGACAGTTCTCATCTATCCTGTAGGGTGCTGAGTTAGAATTGACTCAGTTGCAATTACTTGGTGTTTTGTGCCTATGTGTATAGATGTGTAAATATAAATGTATATATTTTACTGCTTGGTTTTGAAAAATGTTACTAGATTTTAATTTTTTTAATTCAAAGAATTGTGAATTTCTCCCCTTCCCAAAAGGCAATACCCCATAAGTTTATATATGTATCCTATGTGTATGTCCAAAAATATCCTGTGCATATTCAAGAAGAGTGTGTGTGAGGCAAATCTCACTTCTTTGTATGCAACTGGGAACTCATTATACATGATTCTTACAAACTTGGCTCCCCCCACACACGTAAAATACCCTAGAAAGAAAATCACTTAAAAAAAAAAAAAAAGAATGTTGATATAATGTGGAAAATGTAGCCAATGTCATTGACCAGTATGTATAGATATTGTTTAATGGGATCGTAATTTTCTATGTAAACTCTCACCAAAGCACAACAACATATATGTATAAAATAAAATAAAATGCCTTGGAGATATTTGGGAACATACAAATCTACCTCATTCTTTTACACAGCTGTATAATGTTCCCGGTATATAAATGCATGAGTGCAAATTGTATAACCAGCCCACTCCACGCCCCCTCCCCCTCGCCCTGTTGGACTTTTACATCATACTCAGGTCTTTCCCCCTTATTTATAAGATTGTAATAAACACACTTCTATGCCATGTTGGGCACAGGGTTGGCCATTGGTGAGTGACTGTCTGCCAGTGTGATTTTCCCCATGCTTGGTGCATCTTTCTTAGCACCCCTTCTAGGCTTTCTTATGGAGTGTCACTGGTTCAGCAGGCTACCGCATCCCTGATGAGTTACGCAGAGGCCACCGGAGCCCATGATGCCAAAACAACCAGGCTGGTGTCTATGACTGACCAGGACTGATTCCCATGGTGTTCTTTCAGGCTTGTGGGACACGGGAATGTGGAAGTTCAGCATTGGGTGATCCCTGAAAGCCCCACTAGTTCAACTCCTGGTCCTTGGAGCCTCTCTAACCCTGGCAATGGCAGCCTCCCCCGAGGTCGGCACAGCGCTGTCCCCAAGGGAAAGCCCAGTATGGAGACGCCGCTCTAGTTAATGAGTTCACACTGGCATTGCAGACTGCCACGACACTGCCCTCTCCCTGTGCTGAAAGATCTGTGGCACCCGTTGAGATGCTGGCCAGCATGTGTTCTGGAGCTGGTGTGTCTGGAAGTGAATGTAAGATCCACCATTTGTGGATTCTCTAACGTTGAACAAAGGGGTCCTGATAGTGTAGTGGGTTAAGTGTTGGGCTGCTAGTTGCAAGGTGGTTGGTTCAAGCCTACCAGCCTCTCCATGGGGGAACGGTATGGCTCAGTGCTCACATAAAGACTGATAGTCTCCCTAGGGAATAGTTCTACTTAGAGGTCTCTATGAGTCAGAGTCAGAATCATGGTAGTGGTTAGTTTTTTTTTTTTAATGTTGGGCAAGTTACTTCATCCTTCATGCCTCTGTTTCCTTGACTGAAAAAATGAGGATAATAGCATGAACTGTGGGAAACAAGGATTTCTCCCAAGTTGTCTCCCCCAAATACATGCCAAACTTAGCTGCTTGAGAATGACTATACACTTGGAGGTCATCAGGAGTAGATCAGGGGTCAGTCTCCCTAAGGGTTATCAGCCATCTAGACCAAGCAGACACCGCTGTTTATCGCACAACAAGTAGGGCCCACTCCCTTCTGATAAGGATAGTAGCTGTCTGTTTCCTTGTAGGAGACACCAGAGAGGTCAAACCCGCCCAAGGATGACCAAGGTTAGGCTGCCATCATGAATCTAGGGTCCGCCCATCTTGTCACATGTATGCCCCTAGACTTTCCCATTCCTATGGGCACACCCCTAGCTCATCCCCTTCCCGTTACGCTTATGCCTATCATACATCACCTTCCTATGTATGCCTATTGTACTGCCCCTTCCTGTGACGTGCGGTTACCTGTAATCATGTCCCCCAAAGGAGCTATAACCCTTGGTTAGCAATAAAGTTGGAGCGCTCTCCTGCTCTCATGGCTGGGCTCCCCCCACGAGGACCACCAAGCGGGGGCTGAAGTGAGCATGCTACCATGAATTGTGTCTGACTCCATTATTCCAAACTCTTCTGTACCTCTCATGCTCTCTATGGCTTGACTATAATCTTTACTTATTATCACTGTACAATTGCGCCTACTGGACCTGTGATGGTTTGTGGGGACCCTCCTCACCCCATAAACTCCGAAAGCTGTTCCACAGATTAAGCGTTAATGTATGCAAAAGGTTGAAGACCGAGCCTGCCACAGAGAAAGGGATATATGTGTGTGTGTTAGTTGCCGATACTGTTACTCTCCTTCCTGTTGGATCTCAACAGGGACAGAACTTCTCAGCAGAGAAAGGAGTGTGAGATGTACTGAGAAGAAAGTGAGTTTTCTGTTTGTTTGTGTTTTTGCCTTTTGTGAGCATATGCTTACACGGTGTCTTATTTAAACAATGACATCCCGGTAAGGTGCTGTTGATTTTTCTTTCATAGAGGGCCTGAGACTCTCGCAAGTTGCCCAGGGCTTAAACATGGAGCCAGTAGCCCAGGCATGGGGTGCATCCAAGCCTGATTCCAAAGGCATAAACGTTTAGCAACTGAAAGTCCTACCGAGGCAGACGTGGATTGGGACGCCAGTTTCTGGCTTGGAAAGCAAGGTGTGGCTGACTGCAGTACTGGCTGATGGAGAGAAGGGTTGTACCACCTGAGAAAGGGAGCCTGGGGCTACAAGCCACCCCACCCCCACCCCACCCCCACCAATAAGAAGCCTGTTAGCAGTGCGCTTCCCTCCCAGATTACTCCAGAAACGCTTCCGTTCCTGCCTCACATTCAGAGGCCTTCTACCTGCAGCCTTTCCGCTTCTGTCCTCGCTCCTCGGATGGCAGTGCTACACCCCCCTCTCCCTGTCTCCTCAGCGTGCTCATCGGCCTCCCTGTCTTTAAACCCCTTTCCTTGCAGAAGGCAATGGCTTCCTGGCTTCTTGCCCAATCCAAAATAGTCTGGGTTCCGTTTATCGGTCCATGCTCAGCCAGGACTGGGTATGTAACGGGACGGCAAGGCTCTGGAAGCCGGTAGAGCCAATCCTCGGGCTAGCACTCAGCAAATGGCAACAATGCTTACCCCGTACCCCACCCCTTCAGTCCCTCACCGCCTTAGGTTGAAATGAAGGGGAGAAGGTGTAGGTAAACCATCTGAATACATTCATACAATAGGGCATTATACGAGGGGGCTTCAAAAAGTCTGTGGGGGGGAAAAATTTCATCATCTTCTACTTCCATTTTTCCATGAGGATTTTGAAGGGCCCCTCCTACCACTGTTTAAAAGAATGAGATCTCAGTCTCTAAGTAACCATTGACATTGAGCTGATTCTGACTCATTGTCACCCCTCTAGAGGGTTTGCAAGACTAAATATTCACGGGAGCCAGTAATTTCATCCATTTCCCTTGTAGCAGTTGGTGGGTTTGAACCTGGACCCTGCAGTTAGCAGCCCGATGCCTAACTTAGGGCACCACCTGGAACAAAAAGAGCATGTTTTTGTTTGTTTTGTTTTTAGTTTTAGGATTACAAATTTTAGAAAATTCTTGTGCTTATGCTGCTCTTAAAGCCCAGGAAGCCAACGGGGTGAGGACTCTGGTGGTAACTTAGTACAAAGGACTCATCCTTAGTCCAATGAGCCAGCGGTCCTTCCATTGGGATTGCATGGTTCCCCCAGAAAGCCAGGTCAGCTTGTCTAGGCCGTGATTCTCAGTGTGGGTAGCTGCCCTCTTTTGTGACCTGACACGATTATCCTCACTGTCCTTGAACCCATTCCAACTCCTAGCAACCCCAGAGGAGACCCACCGCCATTGTGGGTTCTGAGAATGCGATTGTTTACAGCAGTAGAAAGGCTGGCTTTCCCCTGTGTGTTGTAAATCCTAACCTCTGTGGTGTTAATGAGACAGGATGAGAGACCGTTAGGTAAAGGAGGCCAGAGAAAATCCTCAGGATCAGGCTGTATCTTAGTCAATCTCTTGAGATATAAAAGATTAAAAAACAAGTGAGTGGAGATCAAAGTGATCTCAGTACCAGCAAAAAGAGAAAAACCCGAGTCCTAGACCCTGGGGAAGATTGATGCCAAGCGGCATGAACAGCCCCAAAGGACCCGGAACCCACAGACACCTTCCCCCAGACCCAACACAAAGAAAAAGGCTGCCGTGGAGCTGGTGCCCTGAATGCAGACTTCTAACTTCCTACATGGAGAGAGAATTCATTTCTGTTTGTTAAAGCTATCCACTTGTGGTATTTCTGTTATACGAGCAGTTGATATCAAAGAAAGCTTCTAATTTACAAGGGCAAGCATAGGGTGGCCACCAGCACCCCATCAAGTAGCCACTAAACTTTTATACATTACCTCCAGGATGAGATGTTTTTTAGCCCAAGTGCTATTCGCTGGGTCTGGAATTCCTTTGCTGTACCAATGAGGTCTGAGAGTCGTAAGGAGAACAAGTACCCTAAAGGCAAACAGAAAGAAGAGAGCGATGTCTACTGGCCTGGCTATACAAGTTCTTCGTGCAGTGGTCTCAGTGCAGGGCTTGCTTTTGTTGGCAAAGAGTGGGTCAAGGCATTGAAGGAGAAAGGTTGAGGTAGTATTCCAGCCTGGAGTCCCTGCCATGTTTCACTTCGGCCACTGGGGACTTGCTAGAGAAATCATGAAACTTTCACTCCGTGCAATGCTTAGTTACATGCCACTATACAAGCATGCATGCATTCATTCAGCAAACATGGATTGAACATTGATTGACATATCGCCAGCAAATGCCCTACGCTGTGGGTAGAACAGAGAAGAAGACATTGCCTTTGGGAAGTTTCCTATTTAGTTAATTAAAATGCTTACAAATAATTTGTAATGACAGGGACCTTATGCAAAAAGCAAAAGCAAACAAAATAAAACCCCAACAGACAGGGTTCAAACTGGTATCAATGGCTTGACCATAAATATATGTGTTTTTTAAAAGACAAGGAAAAATATCATAGGGAATGAATCTGAGCTGTCAACAGTGATTATGTTGATGGGGGAAATAGGGATCTTTTTTCCCTCTGTAGCCGAGTTTTGGAAAATATTTCTAAATGAGTATATGCTACTTTTATTACATAGAAGAATCTTAAAAATGTTTCTTATAAATGCTTTTGACATACATATTTTGAATAGCTTTTAAAAACTCAAGACCAATATGAGAATTACTTTGAAAGATAGTTGTCCTAGCTTCGGTGAGCTTTGCAGTTTAATGAGATTAGCTTCGGGTATGCATTGAAGACTTTTGCAGCCAGAGACATGGCCACATGACTGATTTATCTCTAAACAGATGTGAGCAGACTTGCCTGGGACCTAGTCCAGACCATGCAAATGAGGACAATGCCGTCTGATTGGTGGGTCCCTAACCCGAAAGAAACCGGACCCCTAAGTGCATGGAGCAGAGTTGCACTCCACTGACCGACCTCAGGACGATTCTTTGAGAGAGAACTCAGCTTCTGTTGTATCGAAACCACCATATTTTGGAATCTCTTTGTTATAGCAGCTTGGCCTTATTCCTAATTGATACTGCTCCCTCGCACCCAGAAGAGGACGCACGCCATCCTCGTTGGCTGCTTTTCCGTTACAGTTCTTCAAAGTTAACCCAGAGAGCTGTGCTCTGGAGCACTGTCATGAATTCGAGGTGCCATCAACACCAGGTCTTGCGGACAGGCTAGGACTTTGAGTTAGTTGACTATGGCCTATTTCCTGACACAGCATCTGGAAAATAGTCATTGAACAAGGAAATGCTCTTCACAGAATAATAGGTGTTTGCTAAAGAAATGTTAGACAGTGAAGTGGATCTAAAATCATCTGATTCTATCCCCTAATAGAACCACCATTACTAGGGCCTTGGGGCAAAAACAAGCTGCCAAGCCCATTGCTGCCGAGATGACTCCAGCTCCTCGTGACTCCACACGTTGCAGAGTAGCACTGCTTCATGGGGCCGTCCTGGCTGTCATCGTCACAGGAGCGAGTTTCCAGGCCTTTCTTCCATGGCACCCACCCCTGCGTGACTTTGAACTGCCGGGCTGTAGGATATCAGTCAAGTACTAACCATTGATGCCAGCCAGGGACCCAGCCTTGTGGCACCCATGATCCCCTCTTCCTTAGGAAGAGAACCCTAATTTGGGGGTAACAAAATGAGACCGATTAGAAGTGCACCTTGTCCCTTGCTTCACTAAGTGCTAGCCAAATGAGAGGTACCCGGAAATGTCATGAGTGACTTCTTACGGGCGCCTTCAAAAGGAAGCCCGGCAGCTTCCTCCCTTCTTTGTGGAGCGGGGGCTGCAGTCATTGGACCGTGGGGTGAACTTGAGGCCGTCAGGATGGCGGAGCAGAAAATTAGTTGGAGCCTCGGACCCTGACGGCTTGGCCGTCACCACCACTTGGCGGGGTTCACTTCCTCCCTTGAAGGAGAAGCTGTTAGTGAGATGGACCCCTATTATTTTGGCCTTTATGGCACATACAACCAAAGCCATGCTAATGGGCATACCGGTACTGCATGTACACGCATGTGCATGTGTACACACAATTAAACACAAAAATTCAAGTACATAGTGTTTTGCAACCTGTTTTCTTTTTTAATACATGATAGTGCAACTATTCTTCTAAGTCATTAAGTCATTTTCTTCACATCAACTTCCATGCAGGCATCACATTACTACCGGATGGGCTGTACTGTGCCTGAGTAAACTAGACCTACAGGCTTGGGGCATTTAGTTTTCAGTGAACATATTTGACACTAAATATCTGTATATGCCTATGATGTACTAAGCATAAATCCCTCTGGAGAAATTGTTAGGTCAAAGAGTATCATATTTTAAAACCATTGGCTGCCCAGGGAAGGTTGACAAATCTTACACCAACAATATCGGAGAGTGTTCATTTCCCTGACCCTTAGCAGCTACGACTCTTATTGTTTATAAGCAAACATTGACCAAATGAGCTGGTGTGGCCAACTTACTTTTGCCGGATGTAACGCATTGAGAAAACGCCCACCAGGATGACAGCGAGGCAGATACTTGGTGCCAAGAACATATTCCAGTTGGTTTTACCTAAAAAGGTATGAAATCTTATGATGGAATTCTCTTCCATGAACATTTCAAAATTCTGACTGTTATGGGACACGCACCCCTGCCCACGCCCATCCTGGGCCCTACCTTCAGGAACCAGACCAACTAAATTAGGTCCATTTAGTTGGCCCTGAAGGTAATTAATGATAGGAGCCCTGGTGGTGTATAGTTACCCTTGGATTGCTAAACCAAAAGGTTAGCAGTTCTAAACCACTACCCAATCCCCGAGAGAAGCGCAGGACTTTCTAGTCTCATAAAGCGTTGCAGCCTTGGAAATTCACAAGGGCAGTTCTACCCTGTCCTGTAGGGTTGCTGTGAGTCAGCATTGACTCCATGGCAGTGAGTTTGGGTTGTTTTGAAGGATGACAATACTGTGGCTCTAAGGGAGGTGGGATAGAAGGAGATGGGAGATGGAATACAATGTACCGAGGGTGAATCAAGAGCCCTGAGATCTGGCCTTGTTTCTGCCGCTCCCAGCTGTGCAACCAGTGGCCCTCATTTTCATGATGTATAAAATGCGAATGCTAATGTGATGCCTACCTTGTAGAGGGTGTGAGGATTAGAGATGGTGTATTTAAGCATGAAGAAGACGAGAATGCAACATACTGGCATGAAGCAGGGAACCCATAGAGAGGTCTGAGGGGCCGGCCCCAATCCCAACTGTGTGGCCAGCCCTGCCTCCCTGCAGAAGAATTCACTTCAGAGGAAGGCACTGAAGCTACAGCTCAGGGAGAGGGACATGTCTGATCAGAGCACACAGGAACAAAAGATGGGGGAGGAAGAGAGTGGAGGACATCCTGACCCACCAAGCCCTGAGGACGATATTCCCACACAGAGCAGCCAATGCACAGAGAGGACCATAGGGCAGGCCCCGCTAGGAGACATGACTTCCCTCACTGACCCATAGCACTATGGGGACAACACTAGACACAGTGCAGGAATTGTGCCCTATCTGATCCCATCACACTGAGGGGAAACACTAAGGGTGTGCAACAGAACAGCAAGGGGAGCAGAGCAATGAATTTCCCAGAGAATACCAAAAATAGGCTGTGGGGCCAGGACGTGGCACCCCATCAGACTCGACTGGAAAACACTCCTAAAGGTCAACAAACAGACCTTGAACTATTTTACAGCAGTGGTTCTCAACCTGTGGGTGGCGACCCCTTCGGAGGTCAACAACCCTTTCACAGGGGTCGCCTGATTCATAACAGTAGCAAAATTATAGTTATGAAGTAGCAATGAAAATAATTTTGTGGTTCAGGGGTCACCACAACATGAACTGTATTAAGGGGTCATGGCATTAGGGAGGTTGAGGACCATTGATTTACAGGCTATTCTTTTTTTGTCGTTTTGTTTTCTTTTGTTGTTTGTTTTGCTGTCTTGTTTTTGTGCATATTATTATCTCTGCAGGTCTATCTAGATAAGCTAGGCGGGATAAACAATCTACAGGAGAAAACAGCGGACCTATGGTTCCAGGGACATGGGAGAGAGGAAGGTGGGGGAAAGGAAGAGGGTGTTAACAAACCCAGGGATAAAAGAACAGCAAGTGATCCAAAATCGATAGCGAGGAGGGTGTAGGAGGCTGGGTAGGGCTTGGTTAAGGGCAAGGTAACCAAGAGGAATTGCTGAAACCCAAATGAAGGCTGAACATGATAGTGGGACAAGAGGAAAGTAAAAGGAAATAGAGGAACGAAGTAGAAGGCAAAGGGCATTTATAGAGGTCTAAATACAGGCATGTACATATGTAAATATATTTATATATGAGGATGGGGAAATATTTATAGTTTAGTGATGGACATTGGGCCTCTACTCAAGTACGCCCTCAATGCAAGAACACTTTGTTCTATTAAATTGGCATTCCATGATGCTCACCTTCCCAACATGATCATTGAAGACAAAGCGGGTACATAGCAAATGTGGTAAAGAAAGCTGATAGTGCCAGGCTATCAAAAGATATAGCATCTCGGGTTTTAAAGGCTTGAAGACAAACAAGTAGATATCTAGCTGAGAAGCAACAATGCTCACAATGCAAGAAGCACATCAGCCTGTGTGATCACGAGGTGTCGATAGGATCAGGTATCAAAGTACAAAAAATAATATTGTGAATGAGGGGGAGTGTGGAGTGGGGACCCAAATCCCATCTGTAGGCAACTGGACATACCCTTACAGAAGGGTCACAAGGAAGAGACGAGCCAGTCAGGGTGCAGTGTAGCACCAAAGAAACATACAACTTTCCTCTAGTTCTTTAATGCTTCCGCTCCTCCACCATCAGATCCCAATTCTACCTTACAAATCCGGCTAGACCAGAGCATGTACACCAGTACAAATAAGAGCTGGAAACACAGGGAATCCAGGACAGATAAACCCCTCAGGACCAATAATGAGAGTAGCGGTACCAAGAGGGGAAGGGGAAGGTGGGGGAGGAAGGGGGAACTGATCACAATGATCCACATATAGCCCCCCTCCCTGGGGGATGGAAAACAGAAAAGTGGGTGAAGGGAGACATCGGACAGTGTAAGACATGACAAAATAACAATAATTTATAAATTATCAAGGGTACCTGAAGGAGGGAGAGTGGGGAAGAGAGGGGAAAAATGAGCTAATACCAAGAGCTCAAGTAAAAAGAAAATGTTTTGAGAATGATCATGGCAGCAAATGTACAAATATGCTTGCAACAATGGGTGTATGTATGGATTATGATAAGAGTTGTAGGAGCCTCCAATAAAATGGTTTTTTTAAAAAGAAGGGTCTGTGAACATAGGAAGCCTTCAAGACCAAGTAACTACTCATTTGGCTAAACCATGGGACAGACCCTCCATGTAACTAAGGTCTTACATGTGGCTCCTGTTTCTTCCAGTGAAAAGAGTGACCGCGTTTCCCCACCATCCATTAATTCATCCAGCACTTATTAAGTATTTGCTGTCAGGTGCTGGGATACAAAGATGAACAGGACATGGGCCGGTCTGTCTCAAAAGGTCAGGAAAACAGTACAGGCAACAGATGTGGGGATGTGCAAACCATACTGCCGCGAGATAGATGCGTCTAAGGACGGTCATGGACAAGGCAGAGAACAGTATGCGAAACTATCTCAGGAGTGAGTCAGTGAAGAGGACAGGTGTGGGAAGAGAGTAGCCAAAGGAAACTGCAAAGTCCTGGCAGGAGCACAGCAGGAAAATGCAAGGTGCCTGCCCTTGCTTTAAGGTACAGAATGTTGGGGTGAGCAGCTGAGGACACCGTCCGATCTCACAGGGCCAGGTAACTAAGGAGTTTGAATTCTAGCTTGAAGGGAGGCGTTTGGCGAATGGCTGATGGATTACAACAAGGGGTGCGCTATCTGGCTTGGGTGTTTTATGAAATGCTTCTTCTGGTTGAATGGTGAGGCTGGGAAGGAGAGTAAGTTGGGAATGGTGAGTCCAGGTAGGCCCTGTGAGAAGTGGGTCAACAGGGCCTGAACTGAGGGGTTAATGGAGGCCTGGTGGTGTAGTGGTTACACATTGGGCCGCTAACCTCTATGTCAGCAGTTCAAAATTGCCAGTTGGTCCACAGGGGAAAGATATGGCTTTCTACTCCTAAAGAGTTAAAGTTCTGATGACATGGCTCTGCTTGACACTCACCTTCATGAGATGGCCACTGAAGATAAGGGTGCTCCAGCAAAGTGCTGAACGAGAAGATGGTGTGCCCTGCTATCAATCAGAATTGATAGTGTCTGGGGTCTTAAAGGCTTGTATTCAAACAAGCAGCCAACTAAGCAAGTAGTCAACTAAGTCTACATGGAAGAAGCACACCAGCTTGTGTCATCCAAAGATGACAATAACAAAATTTACATATGACAAAGGGAAAAGTACTGAACACCCAATTTGTAGAAGGTTATTGAGGACAGTGGGAGCCCAAAACCCATCTGCAGAGTATCTAGTCAGATTAAGCAGCTGCTAGATCTTCCTCTAGCCACAGGCAAGGGTCTCAAACAGCTTCACTATCAGATAGAGATCACTGTAATCATGATTATACTGGATCGAACTTGATATTTGGTCAGTTGACCTCCCTCTTGACCCAACCTGAAATTGTTCTAGGTGCAAGTATTTCTTGCTTGATCCATGTAAAAAATTACTCCCCTGCTGTTTAAATACTCATGGTGGCCTTTTCTTTCTTACATATTATCTATATGTTTAACTTTATATTGTTAGTATTTTATCCTTACCACTTTATTTTGTTTCTGTGTTTTATTATTTCTGTTGGATTTTCCAGTTTGTGAAGCGCAGAAGGAGTAGATGCATAGAGATAATAATAACTGAGGGCAAGGGCTTATAGGGGAGATAGGGATTGGGGGTGGGATGGGGAGGGTGAGCGGGTTGGAGGAGCAAACAAAGTATGTGGGAAGGGGGAGGGAGCACTAGAACGGATGGTAATTACACAACAACTCCTTTGAAAAGCAATTTAACCATGAAAAAAATGTTCTAACATTGATTGGAGTAATGATTGTGCAATTCTTGATACGATTGAACTATTGGCACTATTGAATTGTGTGATGTATGGATTATGTGCAAATAAAAATGAAAAGAGAGAGTTAGTCTTAGAAACCCACAGGGGCAGTTCTACCCTGTCCTTTGGGCCTCCACAAATCAGAATCAATTTGATGACGGTGAGTTTGGTTTGGTTGGCCTTCTTACCACCCTTCAGTTGGCAGAATGTGACTTTTCTTCAGTATCTGCCTGCCTTCCTGGACAGATGGGAGGAGTGTGGAGTCCCACTTGTGGAAAGATGCTGAGTTCTTAATCCCCACTCATTGGCTTCACAGGTGGGCTGCGGAGATGAGGGCTTTCAGTTCCCAAGTGGAGAGGCCTACAGCAAGCGTCTGAGTGGTAAGTCCACGTCCCCGGTGATGACACCTGTTCTATGCGTACAGCAGATGCAGGCAAGCTTTGCCAAAGAGAAGAGCGCTACCTTGACTGGAGGACGGGAGTCCATGCTAGCTGGCTCACTCCGTCCTGTCCTCAAAGCTCGTTGAGTTTACCTAACAAATTGAGTGATTCACAGTGGTACCTCTCACCACCTCTATGACCTCAGGTAATCTTTCTGTACCTTGGCTTCCTCAGTGGTCAAGAAGCATAATTATCCCTCCTTCTTTTATTCATTTCATGCCCAGTGTCGGTCACCTGGGCCAGAGACTGTGCATGGCGGTTGTAAGGATGAGATGATCAATGGTGTGCAGCAAGCTGAGCACAAGGACCGGCACATAATCAGGAGCCCAGGTGCCCTTGCTGTGTGGTTACAGCTGGTGTTATCCTCGTCATTCACTGGACAGAGATTTAAGAGGCTGTGCTGGGCCCTATTCTCCGCCTTGGAGGTCAAGGGAAAGAAGTACCAGTCCCTTCCCTGCTGGTGGTTAGGACTGGGGGTGCAGTGCATCTTAAGTTCTGTAGTGGGGGATGAAAAGAGTATAGAGGTGCGTCTGGGAGGTCTTTCTGAGATGGAAATATCCCCGCGGAGTCTGGAAACCTAAGTCGACCCTGTTTGCAGGCAGACCATTAAGGGTTAGAGCGCGCCAGAGAGGGAGAACACACGTGCAGCAGCGTGTAGCTGCAAGAAAGTCATTAGTGAATGAAAGGCTGAACATCCGCAAGCCAAAGACAGTGGGAGGATGCATTCTGCATCGGGGTGGGCTTGCTATCTCTGAAGTGGTCTCTTACCTTGCAAGTACAATTCCCACTCATTTCCTCCGGGGCTCTCACCCGCAGCTGTCAGCGCTGTCATCCACAGGACGTAGGCCACTCTGGGCTGCAGGCTGTTTATTGCGTGTGAGTTTTGGGAAACCTCGTAGGGAATTTCTGGAAGGGAGGGGAACGGTAAAGGAAGGAATGGCACAGATGAAAAGGATTGCTAGAATGTGGGCGTTTACTCATTTACATCTTTAATATTTTATTTAATGTCAAAGGCAAAACAAAACAAAAGTCCCACCCCCAGCACAACACTGCTGTTCTCAAACAGTTCTGATTCCCTAGTCCTTAAAACCCGAATAAGCCTTAGACGTTCTTTATGGAGGCGCTACTCCATAGTACATCAGATAAACACCTTTCCTCTGGGAACATCTTTTGAGAAGAAGCCTGGCGGAGTGATGGTTCAAAGCCCGTGACTGTTAACTGAAACATGAGTGGGGCAAACCCACAGCCAGTCCTTGGGACATAGTCGGCTTCCGTAAAGATTTACAGTCTTGGGGACCCGACAGGGCAGTTCTACTCTTTCCTAGAGGTTCACCATGAGTTGGAATCAAACGACAGCCACAAATTTAGTGGTGTTAAAATCTTTTGATTTAAAAAAAAAATGTAACATCTTGCAATTTGAAATTATTGAGCTGCAGTAAACTTTTATTTCCTATGACTGTGATTTTTCATGCATTTACTAGCTATATTTGAAATTCTTAGGTGTGTGTGTGGGGATGACATGTACAAACTATTTTCAAAGCAATAGCATCTTGAAGAAAACAAAGTTTAGCAATTAATGAACTAGACATTGAAGTCACCTTGATTCATTCTGATTTTGCACCCTTTGGGGGCAGGGGATCAACTCAGGGTAGTGAGTATAGGGGCGAAATCATATGGTGGATCTTCTTCAATCGGTGTGAAAACACATGGCCGAAGCATGCGTTTAGTACATAAGCAATCTCTCCTCCCGGAGTGACATCTCAAACGCCAAGCTCAAGCTCCCTGACGCCAAGTCGATTCCAACTCCTAGGGGCAGAGGAGGGTTACTCCTTCGGGTTTCTGAGGCTGGAAGTCTTCACGGGAACAGCCAGTCTCAAGTTTGAACTGTGGATGTAGTTAGCTTCCCAGGGCATAGCCACCAGGGCTCCTTTAAGGACAGTGAAGTCCAGCCCAAAGCTGGACTGGCTTCAGCAGACTGGCTCTTGAGCGGGACAGGAAAAGTGGAAATAGAGCGCCGCATTTGGTGCCTGAATCATATGCCTGCTCACAAACTCAGGGGCAGGCAGGTGGTGAATTTATTTCAGCATTCACAAAAATGTATTGAACCTCTCCTTGAAGCAAAGCACTGACTATTCAGAAGTTCAGAATCTGCCTCACGGGGTTCATGGATCTAGGGCATCTCATAGTGTCCTGCGGATGCCGGCCAAGAACAACTCTTTATTCTGCAAGCGAGAGACAGGAGACAATGGTGTTTGTGACCACCAAAGTGCTTCAAAAATCCTGCAGAAACCAAGCCACTTGTACCCTAAACTACAGTATATGACAAGAACAAGTTTTACAATGATACTTTAAAAAAGGGGTGGGGGTTGGGTGGGTCAGGCTTTGCAACTATCATAGGGAATTACGTGTATCTACATTTCTTCAAATCACCTCTGTCTACAAACCTTCCTCCCTGAAGCCTCTGAGCACCCTTGTTTATCTCAGTTGGGGAATGCTTCCACACCTGGCCTTCCCAGACCATCCCTCCCTGAGGCCTCATGGCTGTCAGGCGCTTCTAGTCTGGTGACATCTTACTAGGCCTTGCTTATCACCTTCAGGAGATAGAACAACCCTACTGACTGAGCTAAAAAGGGATTTTTACTTCAGGGGAGGGGCTGTTACATTTTGGACTCTTAACAAACTAAATCTGAAATCATGGTGTATTTCCCGAATTTTGATTACCAGCAGGCTAGCTCTTCCAACCCCTCCATCACTGTCCCTGCTTTCTCTCTGGTAAGGGACAAGATGGAGCCCATGCAGATGATCCCCACTTTATCTGGAGGGGCCGAGGCCTGAGCAGATCATTCAACAGCTGCGAGCACAGAGGGTTGTTTTTGTTTTTTGTTTTTTTTTTTACATTTTGCATCCTACTGAGCAGAACACCTTGTGGAAAATCCCCAAGCCGACTCTAGCCTGATGAAATTGCTTCGACAAACGTAAATTATATGATTGAGCTAAAATAAATGTTTGTTTAAAAGCCTTTATTTCCTAAGGCAGGGGATTAAAGAAATTAATTTCAGAGAGGCTGTTGGCTCATCTTGCTGCCAGAGAGCCTTGGTGAGGGCCAGGGAGTCAACAGCACTGCTGCATCGGGCGTCCTTAGTTTGCATGAATGATAGGACGGTGGAGCAGGACAGGAAAAGTTTACGCACGCAGGCACGCACGCATGCCAGGAGAAGCACTGAGGAGGCTGATGGTGTCGTTTTGACTGGCTACAGAGGGCGAGCTGAGTAATGAGAGAAAGAAGTTAGGCAGGAAAAACTGCCCCACCAGTCTGAGGAGGGCCATCCAATCCTCTGTCTGAAACTCTGAAAGGTTAGGCTGCATAGGCTCAGGGTGGCTGAATGGCCAAGGTGCCAGTTTATGAGTGCTAGTGGTATGAGGAAAGATAGCTGTATTATTACTGGAAATGGGTTTTTAACTTAACAATCTCCACTGGCTCAGCAAAGTATGGGAGCAGTCCTCAAAATTACCTGGAAATGGAAAACCAGTTGCCTGGTGCATCGAGACTGACTCATGGTGACCCCAAGCATGTCAGAGGAGACTGCTCCCGAGAGTGCTCAATGGCAAAGTTTTCAGGAATTAGATCGCCAAGGCTTTCTTCCCTCAGGACCCTGGGTGTATTTGAACCTTAGCCTTTCAGTTAGCAGCAGAGCAGGGCCACTCAGGAAGGGGACCGTGTTCATGCATTTTTTATTCAACAAAAACAGAATTGATTGCGTGCCCACTTTGTGCCTGGCCTGTTATAGGTACAGGGAAGACAGTGGTAAGCCAAAAAAAAAAAAAAGGAATTTTTTTAGGCCTGGCCTGGCTTCTGCCCTCATGATGATTGCAGTCTGATAGAGAAGACAACCAAGGAAAGCGGGGTTGGGGGCGGGGGGTGGGGGGGTTGGGGGTGGTGCAGGGGTAGGCAGCTGGAGGCTGCAGTGGGAGGTGGTAGCTGTGGGCGGAGTGTGCCCTGAGGAGGAGGAGGAGAAGCGGGTGAGGGGCCGCACAGGCCCCGCTCCGCACCACCTTGGCTCCTAGTCGCCCCCAACCCCGACTGTCCCCCACCCCGCTGGGCCCTGGGCGCATGAAAGAGCCTCATCTTTCCGGCCCTGGCCTCCTCTCTGTGTCCCCAACGCCTTCCTGGTGTCTCCTGGCCAGGCCTGTTCCTGCAGCCTCTGGCCCTTCCCGGTACCCCTAGGACCTCCTTCGGACTTCCAGGACCCTCCCTGAACCCTGGGCCCCTCCTCTGAGTCCTGGGGCCCCTTCTCAGACCTCCACATACATCCCCTGGCCCCTGCTTTGGCCTCCAGCCGCTTTGTAGGAGGGCGCTTCCAAAAGTTCCAGGAAATATTCCGTTCCACTGGCCCACAAACTTTTGGAAGCCCCGCAAATCCAAGCAGAGTGGCCCCTGGATCCTTCCCTCTGGTGGATCTTTCCAGAACTCTCCCTGGAACCCCATGCTCTGTAGGCCTCTGGCTGGACCTCCAGGCCCCCTCTGTCCACACCCCCCCCACCACCACACACACACACCCTGGGCCCTCCGGCCTGTCCTGGGAAATCACTGACCGCCCAGGGCCCTCCTTGCATCCCAGGCCTCCCCTCGGCCTCCCTCCCTGAGCTCCTGGGCCCTCTCTGCCTCCCTCTGACCCAGTCCCTTCCCTGGACGCTCTGAAGCTCTCCCCTGTCTCCACCTTCAGCTTCTCTTAGCCGCCAGGCCTGCTCAGCACCCCTAGGCTCCTCTGTATCCACAGACTCTCTGGCCCTCTCCAGACCACACCCCCAGTCTTTCAGCCCACGTGACTCCTATTCTTGTCCCAGCCCCTGCCCCCGGAGCCTCCCAGTCCTTAAAAAAAGAAGAAGAAGCAGCAGCCAACCAAGTAGGAAGGAAGTCGAATGTGTGCTCCAGTAGAGAAGGGTGGCGTGTGCTTGGTGCACAAGACACTAACCACGGATGTCTAGAGGAATGCCTGTCCACCAGACTCCCCTGTGGACCTGTAACATGTTATTCCACATCGAGTTGAGGCTAACTTCCGGAGAGCCCATGTGTGCAGAGTAGACCTTCTCTAAAGAGGTTGCAAAGCTGTGACCCTTTGGAAGCACATCATCATCAGCCCTGTCTTCCTAGGGGAGTCTGGATGGGTTCAAACCATCTATCTGTGGCTGGTCATCAACTGCTTAACTGTTTGGGCCACCCGGGGACAATCTTGGATGTCTGGCTCCCCCCAAATGTTACACTTCTTTCTTGACCAGATGAGGCCGCCGGCTTGTCCATGTCCACGGACTAGTGCGATGGGGCCCTGCCTGCTCGGAGCTTCTTTCTCCTGTCTCTCCAGGTGTCTTTCTCTCACTGTCCCTGCCACTCCCTAGACACGGCCTGCAGACTCATCGGTGACTCCCGGCTGCCCAATGCCATGGGCAGTCATGATTATAGCAGTCCATGATTATAGCAGGTGCACCGTGTCTATGTATTTTCCAGGTCCGTCACTTAGACTGGGAGCTCTCTGCAAGGGATGGGTCTTTACTAGTAAGTGCTAGCTGAATTAAACAAAAACGTAGCCTAACTTGGTTTGACGCTCTCAACTTGCATGCCCCACCTCCTTTTAAGCTATTGGAAAGAGCCTTACAGGTTTTCATTCGTTGGATTTGGGGCAAAATGAGGCTGGTATTGTACTCAACATCAGAAAAACTGCTTCAAGAACCAGCTGATCGTGTTGATCATTCTGGCTGTAAATAAGCATCTCTGTTTATATACTGCCAAAATGGAAAAGGAAAAAAAAGGAGGGAGGTGGGGTGGAGTGGGCAGTGGCAAATTTCCCGCAAAGAATACCAAATGGACCAAGAGGAAGCCAAATTCACTCATCTCCTCTTGGAGTACATTTCAGAACTAACATAACCAGGCATGCCCCGTGGGAAGCAGTTCTGTTCAGTGTTATATAACCTGTTCATCTATGGGGTCTAATCAAACACAGGATCATAAGCCTTTAAATGGGATACTTCAGAACTGTTAAAAAAAAAGAATAAGGCAGATCCATTTTGAAAGATGTGTAAATATCTTTAGTATGTATTGCTCGTGGACAAAAGGTACTGCTCAGAATATAAAATAAGAACCCAAATACCTGCTTATATTTTTTCTTCTTCAAGCAGAATTGCTAATAGTGGTTATCTGTTAGAGGGAAATGGGCCTAAGTGTAGTCAAAGGAAGACTTTTCATTATGCAACTTTCTGAATTATTTAAAGGTTTTCACCATCTGAAAATATTATTTATATGAATTTCTCAGGTAAAAATCTCTCCAACAGCCAGCTTTCTGCGTCTAGTTCTCAGAGTGGCTTTGCTATATATGCTTGTATATTATAATTCCCCTAAAGGATGATACTATTATTTCTTGTAGAATACATGCCCTGGAATAGCATGCCAGTGTGTATCTAGTAAAGAGAAGGTTAAACTTGAGTGCAGGTGGACGAAAGCTCTGAATTACACAAAGATGGAATATCCTACTTGGCTAGGGCTTGGAGCTGTTGTGTGAATGAGGGAATCCATGAACATATCTGAGATCAAGCTCCAGCCAGAGTTAACTTCAAATGCTTTAGTCTTAGGCATAGAATAATTAGGGTCATAAGGGGTTACTTACGTTGTGTTGTATTTTATCACTTTTAGGGAGAAAATAATATGCTATGATGATAGGTTTTGTATTCAATTGGCTGGGCTAGGATTCTTAGGGGTTTGGCTTTTAAGACTTTACTAAATCCTCATTACGTAATCTAACACAATGTGATCACCTCCATAGTGGGATCTCCTATAAGCAGTCAATTAGTTTTAAGAAAATCAGTATGGGATGCAACTCGATTACAGTTCTGATGCAATCAATTGGAAAGAAGTTTTCTCCAAGCGAGATCTGCTGCCAGTATAAGGGGATGCTGTGGGAAAGTTTGCTTTGCTTTTTGTTGGGTTTGGATTCTGTAACTACCTCACTGACCTCTGGTTTGTTGAACTTGAGCCAACAGCCTGCCATATTGCCTGCCAATCCTGGGAGTAGCCAGTGACCTGTCATCTGACCCTCAGACCTAAGATTTATTTGCCTCTGCAGTCACAAGCCTGACCTGTTGACCTTGGAGTCAGCTGCCTTTGTAGCCACAAGCCTATGATCTTTCTGCTGGTCTTAGGCCCCACAACCCCACAGCTATGCAAGTCAGGAGAAGCCTCCAGCCTAATATCTGACCCATTAACTTGGAACCTGCCTGGGCTTGGGCTTGCCTGGTGTTATAACAGTGTGACATATATAATTTTCTCTTCATGTATAAACTTATAAATTCATGAATAAGTGCATAAATTTAAATCAATATAAATTTCTCTTCATTGGCTTTGCTTCTCTAGAGAAGCTGACACTTACAAATGTGGAGAATTAAAAGCTCCCCAAATATTAAGGTGACCAGACGTCCCGCTTTTGGTGGGACAGTCCTGATTTTTAACAATTTTTCCCGCATCCCGCAGGGTTTTTAAAAAGTCCCGATTTTTGGAAAGAATGCACGACAAGCTAGGGTATACGGTTTTCGGCTGCCATGTGGCTATTTCGCCAGGATATGAGTTTTATCAATGGTGTCCCACTTTTGTCCCGCTTTACCAATGTTAAAATCTGGTCGCCTTACCAAATATATTACTTTTGAATCAGCATGCTCTATATAGCATTGAAGTGATTTTTGAAACACTGTCCCGCTGTCTCTTTTATATTGTCTCCCTATTGAACTAAGCAACTAGAGAGCCTAGTCAATGCTTTTCACTTCAGTATCCTTAGCAATTTGTTTAGTGCGTAACATATCCAGTAACTGTGTGTGTGTGTGTGTGTGTGTGTGTGTGTGTGTGTGTGTGTGTGTGTTAGCTGCAATTTGGTTGGTATGCTGCCTGGTCCTGTGTTGTCCCCATGATCAGTTGTGGATTGGACTGTTATAATCTATGGGATTTTTGTGGGCTGGTTTTTCAGAAGTAGATCTCTGAAAGCTTTCCCTTCCTAGTCCATTTTATCATGGAAGCTCTGCGGAAACCAGTTCAACAACATAGCAGCAAGCAAGCCCCCGTGAAAGATGAGTGATGTCTGTTCACGGGGTACATTAGCTGGGAATAGAACACAGGTCTGACTGTGTGTGTGTGTGTGTGTGTGTGTGTGTGTGTGTGTGTGTCTAGCTGTCTTTTATATTCATATTCTTCACTCATTTAGTTCTACAACATCTGCGAGAGTGCCCACTAAGCACCAGGCATGGTGCTAGCACCTGTAAGTACATGTGCACAGGCACATGCCTATCTATATGTTCCCCTGGCATCTAAGCATGAAGGCTTCCACTGAACTTGGTTCTCACACATACCACAGAGCTGAGGCTGGGAATCTGAGTCCTGTTTCTTCCAGTAGATCCTGTAAGACCGGATGCAGCCCATTTGTTCCTTGACTGGAATTCTGTTCCATGAAATCAAAACAATTCCCTTTTGCTCTGTGATGCCATTAATATGAGGGCCGCTCCACGGTGCTGTCAAGTAGAACAGAGAAGCTTTTTCATCATTCTCCTATCAAAATCACAAAAGCAAAATGTGGCAAAAGGACCCAGGACTCACCTTTGTGCTTGGAGTCACCCCAAACAGTGCTGCAGCCTGCCTGGTCTCCTGACAGTGCACACACTCGAATTTCATAACAGATGTAGTGCTTGATGTTCTCTGCAAGAAAGGAGACTTATCATTATAACAGATGTGGCATAAGGAACTGTAGGTACTATATATAATTCAAAATATCCAACAAAGCCAAGTCCTCATGTAGTTTATAGTACGCATTGCTCATTTCTGTGGTGTCTCAGGGTTTACCAAGTACCTTTCTGAAAACAGTTTCTTCTGATTTGAGGGGCAGAACATCCCTGAAGGAAAACTGGTTTGATTGCAACAATTCCAGGATCAGAGATCATAAGACTTGAGAGGAGATTGCTTGTTCTACAAGACACCATTAAGACTAAGAAAGGTCTTTCTCAAGTGATCTAAAATCTGCCATCTTAAAATTACCATGCCAGAGTCTCAGTTTTCCTCTCCAGAGCAACAAAGGACTCGTGGTCTCTTATATGCACCAGTCAAAGCTAGCAACAACCATCAAGCATCCCCGTCTCCATCCAGAATTCTCTCACATTTCTAGAATTCTCTTACACACAGTTCAATGGACTTTAGATAATAAGTTCCCTCATTGTCGTATTTGCCTTCTCTGTATCCATGCTAGGTCATCTAAGTCAGGACTCTCCTTAAGTGTAGTGATTAAAACTAGAACAAGCACACTCAGCTGCTGTGGGTGGGAATGTGAAATGATATAGCCACCTTGGGAAACAGCTTGTTGGCTCTTCAAAAAGCTGAACATAGCACTACCATGTGATTCATCAATCTTCGTCCTAGGTATGTATGTATATATGTATATACCTATGCGTTAGGCCAGGTTGACTACTTAACTAGAGAAACAATCCAGTGACACTCATGTATGTATAAGAAAGGGCTTTATGCCAAGAAGTAATTATATATCAAGAAAACATCTCAGCTTAGTCCAACTCAAGTCTGTAAGTCCAATACTAGTCCACAGCCACAAGCAATGATATAGGATGCAGAAGATCACAGGCGTGTAGGTGCAGAGTGTAGATCCAAGGCGGGTGGAAACATGACAGCTAGCAAGCAGGAAAGTGACAGGGGAGAGAGAGTTCCTAGGGTCCTCTTTATAAGACTACATCCCAAGGGGACAGCACCAGGCTGTGACCTGATGACAGATTGTATACCTCCTTATGCTTTTTTATATCCTCAAGTTAACGTACAATTATTGAACTGCCACACCCCTGAAGAGGTGAAGACAGGGACGCAAACAGAAACACGCACGAGTGCTCACTGCAGCACTTTTCACGACTGCAGAAGGGCGGGGAGAGTGGAAATGGCCATCCACAGGAGGACGGCTAAGCAGTAAGGGGTATATGTACTACTCAGCCATAAGGAGAAATGAAGTCCTTAAGCATAGGTGAACCTGGGGAACACCTCTGCTGAGTGAAATTAGTCAGTAACGAATAGACAAATTTGCATGATTCCACTTGTATGAAATAAACAAATATAAAACTGAAGATGATTAGAGGCTATCGGGGTGGGAGCGAGTTCCTTGGTGGCCCACCCACATGATTAAACCCTAGCCTGCTGGCTGTGAGGGTTGGCAGTTTGAAGCCACCAGAAGAGCCTGGAATACTGGCTTCGAAAGGCTATAGCCTTGAAAACTCTTAGGAGCAGTTCTAATCTGTGCACACAGGGTTGCCATAAATTAGACCTGACGCAGTGGCAACCAATAAGAGCCGGGGTGGAAGGAATGGGGGAGGGAGCATTTTTTCCTTAGCCAGCATTGAGTTAATGGTGGTGGAATAGTTTGGAGGAGGGCAGGAAGGAGGATTGTACCACTTGAAGAATGTAATCAATGTCACTGAACTAACTGTACAAACAGCAACAGTTGAGAGCAGGTATGTTTTCTTACGCGTGTTTTCATCACAACTAAAGAAGACACACAGCCCACGAGACTCTGAGGAACCCAGCCTGCAAAAGAGGGGGGTGCTGTATTATTTGATTTGGGCAAGTTTTGACTACCTAAGCAGGCCGTGCACAGTCTCCAGGACGCTTGTAATAATTGTGGTGTTATAACGAAAAACTATGAGACTTAGAATTTTAAAACCTATGGAACTGTAAGCACTATTACATATAATAATACCTAACTACATCGAGCATTGAAATGTGTCAAATACTGTTCAAAACGTCTTCTATGGGCTAATTATTTTAGTGTTCACAATAACCCGGTAAGGTCAGTCATGTAACTAGCTCCATCTTACTGATCAGGAAACCGAGGCACAAAGATGTCATTTAACCTACATCATGCAACTAGTAAGTGGCAGAACTTAGACTCAAACCAGGAAACCTCGCTCCAGAATCAGGACTTTTGACCATTATAGAGAACTGCCTCTTGCTTAAAATTGACATTAATACTCAATCCTTTTCAGATATTCTCAACTACTTTCACTTGGTTTTAACAATGAACAGACAAGGAAACTGAGGATCAGAACACTTAATCATTACAGAGATAATTCTGAATTTATCACATGAATAAGCAGTAGATTTGGGGATTGAAATTTAGAGATTGTGGTTTTTTTCATGATTGTTTTGAGAAAGGAATGAGCTCCCAAATGCCAAGGTATCTGTCCATCACGCTGACGGCTTACCCCTTAGCTCTCCAGCGATCACTCATTCGTTGTATAGGGGACTGCACTGTAGTTAGGAGCCCTGGTAGCATGGAGGTCATGCCCTGAGATCAGCAAGGTCAGAAGTTCGAAACTCGGTCACTCGAGGATATCTACGCCTGAAGAGTTACCGTCTCAGAAATGATGACTCAGCATCGCGTCAATGGCAGTGAGTTTGGGGTGAGCGCTGTAGTAGCTGTTGGGTGTTGGGTGCTACGGAATTGATTCCGGTTCATAGACCCCCAAGTGCGGGGAGAATTGCTCCAGGGGGCTCTCTCGGCCGGGCTCCTCACAGAGGCAGGTCGCCAGGCCTTTCTCCTGCGCATTCTCCTGCACACGGGCATTTTCACCACCAGCCTTTGGGTCGGCAGCTGGGTGCTGATGGGAACTCCTCCTGGGCTCCGCGGGCCTCGACTTAAACATTCCTCATCCTAAGGGCCGTGTTGGACCCCAGCTGACCCTCTATGACTGCAGTGGTTGAACTGCTCCCTCTTAGCCTGGAGCCCCCTCAGTAAGACTCCAAAAGGGGGGTGTGTGAAGCGTCAGTACCTGAAATCAAAGCCGCTGTGTTGTAGGCGGGGCTCCTCAGCCAGTCCAGCTGGGGCTGTGTGCCACGCGCGGGATGAAGGTCCCGCCATGCCACCACGTACTCCTGGACAGCAGCCCCTGGGCTCCCGGGGGGCTCCCAAGTCACCACCATGCTGTTCTCGCCCTCGGAGTGCACGGAGACCCGGCGAGGAGCCAGCGACTCTTTATGGGGAAAGGAAGGACAAAATTGTAGGGGATAAAGATATACACAAAACAACTCATCTCCCCCCGCCCCCCGCAAAACCCAAAACCACCGGAAACTTTTTTTCTCCGTTTTTGCTAAGGGCTTCAGGTTCACGCATTTAAATTCATCCTACTTCTCAGCTCCTGGCAAGTTAGCAGCATCAACTTGTATAAGAATCCCATGGAATGATATCTAAAAATGATTTTCCCCTTCATCATCCATTCCTCGCTCCAGTCCTGTGTTTCCATTTGCACCTGCTCTAGAGAATGTAATATACATCCTTCGAATCCATCCTCCAGCAGAGTCCAGGAGGTGGAGTGAGCTACTTGTTGGATTGCTCACCACAAGGTCAGTGGTTCAAAACCAGTAGCTGCTCCCTGAGAGGAAAGAGGAGGCTGACTGCCTCTTTAAAGATTTTTAAACCCAGAAGGTTTAAAACTACTCAGAAACCCAAAGGAGCAGTTCTCGTCTGCCATATAGGATCTCTATGGGTTAAAATGGACTTGACAGAACAGAGTTGTAAATCCATCTTCTATTGTTTATTTCACCAGAATAAACAAAAGCAGTTGTAGCAGCAGTGATACCGACTCATAGCGGCCCTACATGTGTCAGAGGGTAGGCATGCCCCATTGGGTTTGCAATGGCTAGTTTGGGGGCTTTAGGTTGCCTGACTTTTCTTGCAAGGCATCCTTGGGTGAACAAGAATTTGAACTTTTCAGTTGCTACCAATCACATTCACTACTTGTACCACCCAGGGATATATATGTTATTATTGCTGTCGTTAGGTGTTGTCCAGTTGGTTCTGACTCGCAGTGACCCTGTGTACAACAGAACGAAGCACTGCCTAGTCCTGCATCGTACACACAATTGTTCTCGTGTCTGAGACTATTGTTGGAGCCATGGTGTCACCTCATCTTGGGGATGGCCTTCCTGGTTTTCGCTGGCCCTCGACTTAACCAAGCATGATGTCCTTCGACAGGGCCTGCTCTGTACTGATAACATGGCCAAAATTCACGAGACAAAGATTCACCATTTTTGCTTCTAAGGAGCATTCTGCCTGTACTTCTTCCAAGACAGAATGGTTTGTTCTTTTGGCAGTCCGTGGTACCTTCGATATTCTTCTCCAGCACCATAAGTCAAATGTTTCAATTCTTCCTCAGTCTTCCTCATTCAGTGTCCAACTTTCATGGCATATGAGGCGACTGAAAACACAAACCTAGTTAGACCGGAGATGTACACTGGTGCAGATAGGAACTGGCAACAAGGAATCCAGGACAGATGAACCCTTCAGGACCAGTGGTGAGAGTGGTGATACTGGGAGGTGGAGGGAAGCGGGGGTACAAAGGGGGATCTGATCACAAGGATTGACATATAACCTCCTCCCTGGGGGATGGACCACAGAAAAGTGGGTGAAGGGAGACATTGGGCAGTGTAAGATATGATAAAATAATAATAATTTATAAATTATCAAGGGTTCATGAGGGAGTGGGGAGCAGGGAGGGAGGGGAAAAAAAAGAAAAATGAGGAGCTGATTCCAAGAGCTCAAGCTGAAAGCAAATGTTTTGAGAATGATGAGGGCAATGAATGCGTAGGTGGCTTTACACAATTGATGGATGTATGGATTGTGATAAGAGTTGTATGAGCCCCCAATAAAATGATTTAAAAAAATGAAAATACCATAGCTTGGGTCAGGCACACCTTAGTCCTCAAAGTAGCATCCTTGCTTTTCCACATTTTAAAGAGGCCTTGTACAATAGATTTACCTAATGCAATGCATTCATTTGCTCTCTTGACTGCTGCTTCCAGGAGCATTGATTATGAATCCATTTATAAGTATCCTTGAAAATTAGTGTTGCTTCATGCTTGAGTTTTATTTTCAGGAGATGCACTGTGAAGTCAATATAATGCTTTTTTCAATTCCTTTTTTCACACAGCATTATGCTTCTGGGACACCCCCATCCTGCTGTTTTATCCATCCTGCTGTTTTATCCAGCTCACTTAATCAAGCCCCTATCTAAACCCTTTCTTTTCCCAATCTCCAAGTTGGAAGAGTCTCCAAGTTCATTCCAATTCCTTGCTAACACGTCTCACGTGTCTATGTGGGTCCATCAACACAGAACTGCTTACACTCAGAGTAGACACACACATATTATTTCATGAATTCCTGACAGATTGTTCTCTAACACAGCCCATCAGTGGACCATCCGACAAGAAAAATATGAGAGTTTCCATTTCCCCTTGGTATTTTTGAGTTCCTAATTTTCGCCAAACGGATACTTGTAAAACAGTTTCTAATTATGGTTTTATTTTCATTTTCTGGTTTTTGTTTTGTTTTTCATGAGGTTAAATTTTTCTTTACATATTACTAGCCTTTTGCCTTTCCCCTTCTGTCAAGTATCTAATCATAAATGAGGGCTTTACTTATTTTTTTTCTGTTGAATTTTCTGTCTTCTCCCTGATTTGCAAAATTGCCTTTTGTTAAAAAAAAAAAAAAAAAAGACTTTTTAGTCTAGGTATTAATCACATTTCAGTTTTCAACCCTAAAAATATTTTGCCTCAGCCAGCCAGATCTCTAAACCTTTCGGATGTGTTTTTTGCAGATAGGCAGTCATGTCAACATAAGTGTATTTGCGCATTTTGGGTCCCGTGTGTATGGAATCCCCTCCACTCCTGGTTTCACACAGCTACTCAGTCACATCCCCTCCCATCAGCATTTAATTTTGCTTTTTACATTTACGTTTTTCATCTAAATCCATCTCAAAGGTTTTCCCCAACTTTGTTTCACCCCTCTCCCACTTTGTTTTTTTAAATCAGGAGAAAGATGGCATTACTGTTAGGTGCTGTTGAATCAACTCTGATTCATAGCAACCTTATGTATAACAGAAAGCAACACTGCCCAGTCAGTCCAGTGTCATCTTCGCAATGTTTGAGCACATTGTCATGTTTGAGCACATTGTTGCGGTCACTGGGCCGACTCAGCTTGTTAAGAGTCTCCCTCTTTTTCAATGACCATCCACTTTACCAAGCATGATGTCCTTTCCTGGGATTGCTCTCTCTGGACTCACAGCAACCCTATCGGGCAGGGCAGAACTGCCTTGGTAGATTTCTGTAATGGTAACTCTTTAGAGGAGAGAAAGGCTCATCCTTCTCCAGTTGATTGACTGGTGGTTTGGAAGGGCTGACTTTGTAGCTAGCAGCCCAACTCAGAACCTGCCATGCCACCAGAGTCAGAAGAGACTCGGGGGAAGTGAGTTTGGGCTTTTGAGTTGGCCTCTCCCATAACATGTTAAAAGTCTGAAAATAAAGTCTTGTCATCCTGCCCCCAGGCACATCCTCTCTGTAGTTGTAAGGCAGATTTGCTCGTTGTTCTGGCAGCCATGGGACATTCAGTTCTCTTCGGTCACACTATAATTCAAATGAATCATTTCTTCTCTGGTATTCCTTATTCATTATCCAGTTTTCACATGCAAATATATGAGGCTATCGAAAATACCATGGCTGAGATCAGGTACCCCTTAGTCCTCCTCAAAGTAACATCATTGCTCTTCAACACTTTAAAGAAGTCTTGTGCAGCAGATTGACTCAATACAATACACCATTTGATTTCTTGGCTGCTGCTTCCATAAGTGTTGATTGTGGATCCAAACCAGATGAAATCCTTTGGTCGTTTCTCTATTTATCATGATGTTGTCTATTGGTCCAGTTGAGAGGGTTTTTGTTTTATTTGTGCTGAGGGGTAATAACTATCAAAGGTTGCAGTCTTGTCAGAAAGTGCTCAAGTTCTTTGCTTGCAGAAAGCAAAGTTGTGTCTGCATACCACAAGTTGTTAATGAGTCTTCCCCCAATCCTGGTGCTGTGTTTTTCATATAGACGGGCTTTTTGGATTATTTGCTCAACATTCAGATTGAATACGTATAGTGAAAGGCTACAACTCTGACACACCCCTGTCCTGATTTTAAACCATACAGCATCCCCTTGCTCTGTTCAAATGACTGCCTCTTGGTCTGGGTACAGGTGCTGTGTGAGTGCAATGAAGTGTTTTGGAATTCCCATTCCTGACAATGGTATTCACAGTTTGATATGATCCACACAGTTGAATCCCTTTGCCTAGTCAATAATATACTAGCAAACATTTCTTTCCTGGGATTAAGTGTCATTACTTTTTCATGAAGTGAACCAATTCCCCCGAACAATTTCTAAGTATCCCTCTAGTTTCTATGGATTGGTGACTCCTTTTCTATCATCTGCCAAGTCTCACACTCTCCTAGCACTGAGTCCTGGCTCTGCCTCTTCATCAGAAGGCGTTGGCCACTCATCGGGCTGGGTGATGTCTATTGGGATGGCAACATCTCTTTCTCTGTGGCTCTTCTTTTTTCAAAGTGGTATTAAATGTTCATGAGCTTTCATTCTTCCATATAATTTTTAGAATCAGTTCATTAGAGTCCCCAAGTATTCCAACTGATATTTTAATTGAAGTTAAATGAAATGAATAGTTTAATTTAGGGAGAGGTGATATTTTACTATGTTAAATGGCCCCACTAAAATGCTATTTGTTTGTTTGCATAATTATTCAGATCTCCACTTACACTTTTCTGTGGTGGTTAAAAAATTCCTATTTAATATTTACTTGCACTCTTTGTAAGGTAAACTCCTTAATTCCTAGCCACTTTCGTCTTCTTAGCTTGCTATCCAGATGGCATTTTATTTCCCGATGTTAAGAAAACAAAACTAAAAACCTATGGATGTTGATTTTCTTTCTGGTAAACCTGCTAGTTCTAATAATTTATTTCTTACATCACCTTCTTAATTTTTCTCTGGAAACAATCACACTAGCAGCAAACTAACATGTCCTCTCCGACCAATCGTCATAGTCAACTTCTTACTTCCTTTTTTGGTTTTTATCTTACTCCTAACTTTAAAGGGTATGTGCTTGTAGTGCTTTATTAATAAGAGTTTTGTTGCATGTGGGGGGGGGGGA